TCTCTCTCTCTCTCTCTCTCTCTCTCTCTCTCTCTCTCTCTCTCTCTCTCTCTCTCTCTCTCTCTCTCTCTCTCTCTCTCTCTCTTGCTATGAGCGATGATAAGAGCATGGACTCCTAGGACAATACCTCCATCATGCTCCATGCGAGCGCTATTGGTGGGTGTTGATCATCAGTGAGCGAGCACTCATGGCGGTCATGTGAGCTCTAATGGCGAGTGCGCAGGTGTAGCGCTGCTTGTTGACAAAGTGGAGGGGGAGAGGCAATTGGGTTTTTGTCGGGCTTCATGCTGATCTCCCGGCGTCGCAGGCAGGTGCAGGTAGAGAGGGGGGGGGGGGTGCTGCTATAATGGTGGTGCGAATCTCCAGGTGAAGGTAGCTTAAGGGTGTCTCTTTTGACATGGTGTTTTTGTCGTTCTGCATTTTCATCATCTGGTGAGCATGTGGTAATCATCATCATCATCATTTTCATCAACATCGTCAAACGTGAGGTTCAAAGTTTGGGGTGGCTACACTTCAATAGAGTACATTGTGGGTTACAAGTTGAACTCTTCTCCTTTTTTTTTTCCAAGGTGTCTTTCTCTCCTCCTCCTCTCTCTGTGGCTTTGTTTCCTAACTCTTCTCTCCATTCCCCCTCTCCGCATTCAACAGAAAAATTTCTCAAAACTAAATAATCATTCTATAATAAAATTACATTCTAAATTTCAAAATTTTATTCGACATTAAAAAATATCATTCCAATTTTAAAATTTTATGACTTACTTAAAAACTTTCATTCCAAGAATGGGCTATCCCTTCTTATTTGAACTGCATGCTAGAGATGGAATGAAAATCGGGATGAGTTCACGAAATATTTTAATTGGACTGTCATTCCAAGAATGGGCTATCCCTTCTTATCCTCCCACTCCTCCTCCCGTTAGCTCTTCCTCCTGTGCAGTGGGCTTGTACAGCGCATGCTTCAACCGGGGCTGAGCATCAGAGAAGGGATCCTTGCTTAGCGCCGCTGACCATTTTGATGGTAGTAACCTGTCTATGAAGAAAGGTATTGGTTCATACAAATGTATACAGGGGCTGATGCTCAGCCCCGGTTGAAGCATGCGCCATACAAGTCCACTGCACAGATATTCTCGGCACATATCCCCAACCCTCCTTTTGTGCTCCCTCTTGAAACTCGCCCGCAGATGCCGATCAGATCTCATCCACCACTCCCGTCACTTCGTGTCGTCCGTTCGGTTGCTATGCTTTGATGCCACTCGGGAGCATTACCTGGCACCATTTTGGCAGGGTGACCGGCCAGATAAGGATTGCAGGCAGCCGCGCTAAGCATTGGCAAGCACCCCTTCTCCTATGCTCAACCCCGATTGAAGCATACGTCACTGGCATACAAGCCTGTTGCATGGGTTCTTCGGGCTAAGCAAGGATCCCTTCTCTGATGCTCAGCCCCGGTTGAAGCATGCGCCGTATAAGCCCACTGCACAGATATTCTCGGCACATATCCCCAACCCTCCTTTTGTGCTCCCTCTTGAAACTCGCCCGCAGATGCCGATCAGATCCCATCCACCACTCCCGTCACTTCGTGTCGTCCGTTTGGTTGCTATGCTTTGATGTGTTGTCACTATCGTACTCATGCTTGAGGCTCCTCCAAGACAAACCTCCTCTGCACCGTCTCCAGGAAGGATACCATGTTAGCTCCTACCCAACCAACAGTCACGACTATGGAGATCGCAGTCACTGAAGCCGAGGGTCCACACTCGATGCGGCGATCAACGCATCTTGACTCAACGGTGTGCTATGCTAACCTGTAACATAGTCACTTGCTAGCACCCGTTTCTCTTCGCCCGTTAGGACCCTGACTAACAACGACTCTAATATCGTGGCAGTTATACGGTACAAGATATTATTTTGGAAGCTACCACCAATATAGCTGGCAAGACTCAGACAGTCAATAACTAGAGGTATCTACATAGCTGGGTAGCATGACGTACG